ACAAGGAGCGTAGAGTAAGAGAACATACGACTACAACAGAGCTCATTGTTGCAGCTACTTCTGATGATACAGAATCTGGGTATGTATGTCTACTTCAGATGAACACTTGTCATATTTACCAGACAACCAGGGGAGATAATTTGGCTATACTACACATTTAAACTGATACAACTCTCAGATCTTCAATTTTCTCAGAATATTTTGTGAACAAGCTAGTGGAAGTGGACTAGAACTCCCTTATGGAAAATTCTTAGAAACTCATTAAGGTATAAATCCCATAATTTTGTAATACATATACATGCCTTGTTTTTAGCTAGAAACAAATTTGTTTGAACATAATGCTTCTGTAAAATATTTTAAAGCAATGAAAAAAATAATTAAATATCATGATTACAAGTCTGGAGTTGCTCTATAGATAGTATTTTTGAAGAAAATGCTATTGGATTTCTAAGTTGGAAGTTAAGGTTTGGATTTAAATGTTGTGCTAATGACTGAATTTGAGGGCCACGCTGTTATTTGGAAAGTCAGTTGCCCAGTGAAATAGACATGAATGAATACGTGAATGGATATGGAAGACTGCCCGAAATGGGCTAACAGAATGACTCAAGCGTTTTATGCTGTTTGGTTTTTATAAATATGTATTTGTTATTTGTCAAGTTTTCCTCACAGGGGATATAAGCCAACAACAACATTAACAAAGCAAAATGTATGCAGTTAATCTAACGAAATATGCTATATATAATAGCATAGATCCATATTTAGTCATATGAAATTGGGGCTAGCAAAAGTCAATTTTCCTCTCCTTTCATCTTCCTATGAAATTCCTGAGTAGACAAATAGGAACAGGAATGGACATATCAGATTATTTTGTCCTTTCATGGCTTTATATTGGTTTGGCACTCAGAAGAGGGCTATTTTGGGGTGCAGGCAACCTGGTCCCCTGCTGACTTCACCTTCATCCATGGAGGTGACCTTGATGTATACCTGACACCATTAACATGGACTCCTCCAATATGTGGGCTTAGTGCAGTGGTTCTTAACCTTCCTAATGCCATGACCTCTTAAAACACTTCCTTATGTTGTGGTGACCACCAACCATAACATTATATAAGTTGCTACTTCATAACTGTGATTTTGCTACTGTTATGAATTGTAATGTAACTATCTGATACTTTCATTCACTGGAACAAATTTGGCACAAATACCCCATACGCCAAAATTTGAATACTGGTGGGGTTGGGGGCGGGGGGGGGGGGTTGATTTTGTCATTTGGGAGTTGCAGGTGCTTGGATTTATAGTTAACCTACAACCAAAAGGCATTCTGAACTCCACTAATGATGGAATTGAACTAAACTTGGCACACAGAACTCCCATGACCAACAGAAAATACTGGAAGGGTCTGGTGGGCATTGACCTTGAGTCTGGGAGTTGAGTTCACTTACATCCATAGAGCACTGTGGACTCAAACATGATGAAACTGGACCAAACTTGGCACAAATACTCAATATGCCTGAATGTGAACACCAGTGGAGTTTGGGGGAAAACAGACCTTGACATTTGGGAGTTGTAGTTGCTGGTATTTTTAGTCCACCTACAATCCGATAGCATTCTGAACCCCACCAATGAGAGAATTGGACCAAACTTCCCACACAGAACTCCCCTAAACCAACAGAAAATACTGTTTTCTGATGGTCTTTGGCAATCCCTCTGACAACCCCTCATGACCTCCCCAGGGGTCCCAACCCCCAGGTTGAGAAACACTCGCTTAGTGTATATAATAAATAGCATGTGGGGCAGACCAGAGCCCTTGGAACAGGCCACGGAGCCAGACAGAAATCTCCAGCCCCTTTTTACTCCCAAAATAAACCATTGTAAAACAGTGCCTTCAGGTTCCATCCCTGCAAGCCATCTTAGAAGGATGCCACAGTACTGCTTGCTTTCAGGGGAAATGCTTTTTCTGTGCAAAACTGAGTTTTGTTGTTTGGCACAGCTTTAAAATTATGGGATTAACTTGATTTCATTTTGTTTTGAGACTCAGACTACCAATTACATAGCCCAACAAAAAAAATTAAGTGTCTTGGTTTTTAGGTCTGTTCCTGGTGAGCTGATTCAGAAAATTGCATTGAATAGGCCACATCAACTCTAGTTTCTTAGATAATAGTTATCATGTTTTTCTATGGGCCACCAGATGGTGATGGGATATGTTCTGTATATCATAGAATAACAGAGTTGGAAGAGACCTCATGGGCCATCCAGTTCAACCCCCTGCCAAGAAGCAGGAAAACTGCATTCAAAGCACACCTGACAGATGGCCATCCAGCCTCTGTTTGAAAGCCTCCACTGCTGAACAGCTCTCACAGTCAGGCAGTTCTTCCTAATGTTCAGATGGAATCTCTTTTCTTGTAGTATCAAAAACTGGTTAGGGTAAAACTGTTGGGATTTTTGGAATCTGCACACAAATATACCCAAAAATAGAGCTAACATTTCAGGCACCAAAATATGTATTGGCCAGTGTTATCAGTGGAAGTTGAGATGTTAAAACACAAGGCTAACGAAATATAGCCGTTCCAAGCAAGGCATGCATAAGAGCTAAACTGGCTATTATATCAAAATGAGAACCCCACCTTTATTCCCACCTGAAGAGGTATCTTGCTCTCTCCCTCTTTCTGTATCTATTCTATATTCAAGGCAAGCACTTTTTTCCCTCGCTGTCAGTATACCTCTATTGTTCACAACTCTAAATGTGTTAAAAACACAAGGGCATTTTACTCTGTGTATTGTGCATGAGAAATATTGTTACATGACAAGCTCCAATTGGCAAGTGAAAGGGGGTTTTATTGAAGGAAATAGCAGTAGCAAACAGTGAACTATGCAGAATAATGGTAATTGTTCCTTTAGCACTGGCGGTGCACGTTCACTTAATATGACTCGTTCCTCTGTCTCTGCCTCATCGAGACCCAGAGGGCCTGTTAGACAAGCAGCCAGCTCGCTCTCTCTGGGATCAAGCTGTCAATGCAAACTTGCTTTCTTTCTCATTCTTTGAGCTAAGCTATACCCCCAGAGCTCCCAAAGCTTTTCCTGACTGAAAGCTTTTTCTTTAGGAAGAAGAAGAAGAAGAAGAAGAAGAAGAAGGGGGAAGCAAGCTCTGTTCTAAATTACATCACATGAGCACTTCTATTCAGATTGACAGAACAAAAGAGGTGTGTTGGGCTGGGTGGGTGGAGGGAGAGAGAGGGAATCCAAAAGTACAGCCCATGTTTCATTCTGCGATGTACTTCTTTGCTGTTTATTCTGGGAGGGGACAGTGTGCTCTTGCAGAGACCTTATAACCCAAAGCCAAAAATAAAAGTGTAAAGGAATAAAAGAAAGGTAACGTGAAACTGCTGGGGACAACCTCAGAAGACAATATTAACCACACAGGAAACAATGGGGTTGCAGTTTACTTCAATGGGGCTTAAAATAGCTACAGTCAAAATTCAAGCTAGGATCTCAGTACAATCCTGCTGAGAGTTCATTTTATTGAGTTTGGATTGCAAGGAGAGAGATAGGATGGCAGTGCTGTTCCCATCAGATTGCAGTGAGACCATCTACTGCAGTGGTTCCCAACCTTTTTTTGAGCAGGGCCCACTTGACCAGGGCCCACTTTGACCAGGGCCCAGTTGACCAGGGTCCACTTTGACCAGGGACCACTCTCCAACATTAATACCAAAAGGGTCAGGGCTGGTTAGCTCTGCAGAAGGGAGTGGAAACAAAAATGAATAAAATTAAATAAAGAGGAAGGAGGTTCGCGGCCTGCTACTGAGCCATGGCCCACAGGTTGAGAACCACTGATCTAATGTGAACTGCTTCCATCCTAATTGACCATTATGAGAACTTTGCAATGTCAAGAAAGAAAATGGAGGGGGCATCCACACTGAATAATTAATATGGTTTGACACCACTTTAACTGCCAAAGTGATATCAGTGGTCTCTGTCAAAGAGTGCTGGTGCATCACTAAACATCAAATCCCAGAATTCCATAACATTGAGCCTTAACAATTAAATTGTGTCATTTTTCTACAGTTTGTGTTTGTACACTGTACCACAAATATTGCAAAAGAACATATTTTGAAGTCTAAATGTTTACCTGTTTTATTTTTGTTTGGCTAATATATTCACACTAAATGCAATTGGAACATCTTTGCATTTCCCTAATAGTATATAATAGGCTTGGGACCAAATCAGTCTGAATGAAAATAATTTGTAGTATTTGGTGGTCCATTTTATATAATCTCTGAAAACAGAACAGGGAGGAGGGAGCTGAAAAGCCTGGCAAAATGGATTAAGTGAGCAGGATTTTATCCGGTTCCTGGATAGGAAGGAGTTAAGTCTGCAATATACCTGAGGCAGGGATCTGCCATGTCTTTTCTGCTTCCCCAGCAGCAACAGTGTCCCTCCATTTCTTTTTGGAAAGTTTCCTAGGCTCCTCGTCCAGAGAGGGCCCTGCTGGGAACTCACTTTCCTAGCAGAACTTGCATAGGATGGGCATTGAAAAGTTTTGTCTCAAAGCATGATGGGAGTTGAAGTTTTTGTCTCTTTCTCAGCCAATAAAAAGCCTGGAACCCTCTCTTGTGGTTTGTCTTATTTTTAAAAATGTTATGGTTAAAACAATTCTTAAAAAACAGTAGATTGGTGAATTGTTTTGAAACTTGGCGGCCTTCAGTTGTAAATGGGGTCTAAAACGAAGGTAGGTTTCATGCAGATAGGCCTTTAAAATTACCCATTGGAGTCAATAGGCCAAATCTTTGCCAAATGAAAACGGCAACACCCCTCCCCTTTTGAGTAACTTCCCAGTAAACAGAATGAGAGGTCATCCAACAATGCACACTGAAACCGGATGCCTTTTGGCCAAATTGCACACTTCTAGTAATGCCACCCCACTCCCCAATAAAACTGTAACACATCAGAAATACATGGCCAACATATACTCAAAAGAACTGTTCATTGAAATCTACACTTACTTGTGTCTCCAAGAGGTTGGGAAATTGTCAGTCCTGTGGTTAAAAGAGGAAGGGAAAATAAAATATTTTGTATTAGATCACTTTAAAACTTGTACACTGATGTGTGTAACTTCATCAAGCACCTAGCAAAGTAAGGACTTTGAAATGTAATGCTGGCTAGAATTTCATATTGTTCCACTGGAAAAAGAAAAACAGTAAGTCCTGCAAGAGATTGAGCCCCCACCCCCACTCTCACCCTTTTCCCCACATTCAATATGTAGAAGAGCATGGCTTAATGGAGTCCCAGAAAAACCTCACACAGTCCTAGCCATGTATTTTGTTGTCACTGCATTGGTGTGAATGACAGTAACAGAACTCCAGACCTGTGGAATCATTTTCAATGGTGCTTGGAGGTAAAAAGATAGCTGTCATGTCATCACAAAAACATGGTATTTGTATCACCCCTCATTCATAATGCCACTCAGGATGCACCCACACTGTATAACTAATATGGTTTGACACCACAATGCCTCAATGCTATGGAATCATGTGAGTTGCAGTTTTACAAGACTTCAGCCTTTTCTGCCAAAGAGTGCTGGTTCCTCACCAAACTACAAATCCCAGGATTTCATAGCACTGAGCCAAGTTGTGTAAAACCTCATTAATTATACAGCATGGAACCAAGTATCATGTGAAATTAAGAATTAGCCCAACGGAGTTTGAAGAGCTTATTCATATGATCAGTTACATGTTCACTCACTCAAAATATGGAAGAAGTAAAAAAGCTTTGCCGTCTCTTTTCTCAACCACATCTCAAATCTGGGCTTATTTGTCAAAGATTAGGTTCAGTATTCACTATTATTCCCCTTTCATTTAATTTAGACTAGGAAACACACAAAATACAACTTTAAGGAGCAGGGATGTGCAGTCTATGTGAGAAGCTAAGACTTTGTGCAACTACGTTCTAGCAAATGGATGTTAGCCATTACTATTTTCTTCTTCTGCAGATTTATTGTGCACTTTATTTGGGGGCCTCTAGTGGTGCAGTGGGTTAAATTGCTGAAAGGTTGGTGGTTTGAATTCAGGGAGCTCCCGTTGTTAGGTCCAGCTTCTGCCAACCTAGCAGTTTGAAAATATGCAAATATGATTAGATCAATAGGTACCACATCTGCAAGAAGGTAACGGTGCTCCATACAATCATGCTGGCTACATGATCTGGGAGGTGTCTACGTGCAACGCCAGCTCTTCAGCTTAGAAATGGAGATGAGCACCACCCCCCAGAATTGGACATGACTAGACTTAATGTCTAGGGGAAACCTTTACTTTTTACTTATTTATTTGTGCCAAATGCTTTCTACCTCCAATTTTAGATTGTCCAAATAAAACCATTGAGCTAGCTAAGTTCTTCCATACTAGCTAGCTCAATGAATGAGTAAATGAACCTTCAGTGGGCACTTGAGTAAGACAGTCTTAAATCTGTCTTACGCTGCAGTGTATCCAAATATGGATTACATGTAGAATTAATTTTTTATGTTTCTGTGGAAATTTGTAGCAGTTGATGCATTCCAGAACTTACTGCAGGTACAAATAAACTTCACATCAGCACCATTTTCTTAAAAAGACACACAGGATCATATAGGAAAAGAAAGTCTGACATTCTCATCACAATATCCAGCCAGCTCTGTTACCACAGTATGGTATGCATGGTATTCTCAGGTAAAGGATTCAAGTTCTTCTTGGGTGAACAATGCTTCCACTCAAACATTTAAAAGGGCAAGTTTGCACTAATATTTCCATGAATTAAACATAAGGGGGAAAAGGAAACACACGAAAATAAGACCCACAGCTGAATCTCCCACCTTGAAGGTTAAGAGCACTGAAATGGGAAGCTGTGGTTCATGTTGCAGATTTTTCATCAAAACAATCCTTCTTTTCACGGCCTTTGTTTCTTCACCAAATCACTGATGTTTACCCTTAAGCCTTTATTCTCTAGACACAAACCTATTCCTGTCTATGTGTTCAATAGGCTTGGGTAACTACGGAAAAATTTGGTTCTAAACTTGTTTCGTTTTTAGGGGGGCCCTTGCGTTTCGTTTTTTTAAAGAATTCTGAAATTTCCCTTTAAAATTTTTTGAAATATACGAAATTTCGTAAAATTACGAATCAATTCGTTAATGGCGGGCGCGATTGCGCAATATGCTAAAAAACCCTCCAAATGGGACAGGGGGAACTTCTGAAGCTTCCCTCTCCCTCTGTTGTTGACTGTTGGTGTGATAATTTATTTTTTATCACTGATAAAACAAACAACAACTATAAAACTTGCACCAGACATACGGAAATAATTACGAAACAATTACGAAACAATTTCGAAACAATTTTGAACCAATTATGAAACAATTACGAAACAATACGAAATAAATTGGAAAAATTGTTTCGATTTTTAATTACTCCTCACAGTAGTCCTGCATGGCTCAATATTGGATTGTAGGCTAATTTAAATACGAATTAATAACGAATTACGAAATTAACGAACGAAACTGCCCAAGCCTAGTGTTCAAGCTTAAGCTTATGTTACAGCAAAATTTTCAATAACAAATTTTCATGTAGAAATCCAGGGAACATTATACAATGAAAGAAAGGAGTTGTTTTAAGAGCAAGTATTATAAACTTCATTCTTGTTCTTCTAGAATTCCAAGATCTGCTATCCACAGTCAGGTTCCAAAGACATCTTTTTATAATTTAAAAAAGCATTATGCATGTTTCAGAATTTGTTTTCATTGAAAATTTTCGACACTTACTTCTTGGGAGGAGAGCAATGTCCAGTCTCGATAAAATCGTAAAGAGTAGAGACATCACACTGGCAACAAAGATCCGCCTAGTCAAAGCCATGGTATTCCCTGTAGTAAGCTACGGATGTGAGAGCTGGACCTTAGGGAAGGCTGAGCGAAGGAAGATAGATGCTTTTGAGCTGTGGTGTTGGAGGAAAGTTCTGAGAGTGCCTTGGACTGCAAGAAGATCCAACCAGCCCATCCTCCAGGAAATAAAGCCCGACTGCTCATTGGAGGGAAGGATACTAGAGACAAAGTTGAAGTACTTTGGCCACATCATGAGGAGACAGCAAAGCCTAGAGAAGACAATTATGCTGGGGAAAGTGAAAGGTAAAAGGAAGAGGGGCCGACCAAGGGCAAGATGGATGGATGGCATCCTTGAAGTGACTGGACTGACCTTGAAGGAGCTGGGGTGACGGCCGACAGGGAGCTCTGGCGTGGGCTGGTCCATGAGGTCACGAAGAGTCGGAGACGACTGAACGAATGAACAACAACATTATTTCTAGCCAATTATCAGCAACTAAACTTGTGCCATAAATTAGAATCCTGGGTCATTTTTCTTGCCCTAAAACAAAGATGCAGGTTGCAGAGGGATGGCTACATATATATAATGTAGCTGTCCCTCCTCAGCTACACCCATACCCAAGAAACAGGTTAGGTGATTTATATTAATTAGGATTCTTAAGGGACTATCAAAAGGGGCATTTATTTGTTAGTGAAATATCAATTAAGATAATATGCAAACTAATACAGTAATCAAATAGACCTGATGGATAACATAACCTCTCCTTCTCTGCAACCCCAGCTGAACAGGCATGCTAACAAATCTATTTGATCAATATATGGAATGTAAAAAAAGAAAAGACAAGATTGACTGATGAATAAAATGAAACTGACACAAATAGGCTGACAGCCAGTTTCAAGTCTCTTTAGGGCAAATGCAATTAACTTAGAATAATAGACTCAAATTTGATGGTTAGAAATGCATTTTTATTAACAATCACAGCCTGAATCATTATGTGTGTGCTTATGAATAAAATTGTACTTATATTTAGTGTGTGTGTGTGTGTACATATACCCAAGTATATATTAAGAAAAGAGAAGGAAATACATTTTTTCAGCATGATTGTTTTCTAAAAAAAACACTTGCAGGGATTTTAAATAACAATGCACATACAAACAAATCTGTAAATAAACTAAGTCTACAGGTATCCTGGGGAAAGATGCATAGCAAGGATCCCCACTTCCCCCACCCATCAAGTCCCCAAACCTCTGAGCCTTTTGGGATATAGATCTGCAATCAGGGATTTTTACCAATTTCATTCTGAAGAAGAGAAGTCATTACTAGAAAACTATGCTCATTCTCTTTAGTTTAATAGCTTTTTAAAATGATTCATTTAGAAAAGGGGGGTGTAGATTAACACTTTATTTACTGTGCAGTTTAGTCCTTCTAGAAATGCAATCACTGAGAAATTTGCAAGACATATTTTAACCAGTTGTTTGTTTTTTAAAGAAAAATTGTTGCTAACCTGTTTTCTGTGTCTTTTGTTAATCCCTCTCCCATTTTAGCAAATAATTTGTGTGGTTAAAAAAACAAGCATAGTATTGACAAGTGAGAGAATAAAAGGAGAAAGATATATTGGATGTGAGCCAAAGATTATAATTCTGAAGTCCAATTGATTTGGGCTTTTTTGTTTGTTTGTTTTCCGTGTCAGGAGCGACTTGAGAAACTGCAAGTCTCAATTGATTTGGTGCATCAATGGTAATGTTCCAGGTTTCCACATTAGCTTTCAGAAACAGCTTTGGAAAGATCCCTCCTCCCCAGGCCCGTAGCCAGGATTACATTTCGGGGCTGAATTTTTTTCAGGGGGGTTGGGGGGCTGAGTTTCGGGGGGGGGGGCTGAGTCTGAGTGAAAGAGGGTCTAGCCTAGCAAACCTTTTGTATCATTACCCCAATACCCCCATGCATATGGGATATATTGAGTATGGTGATCAGATCATAATATGAATAAACATAACAGTTTAAATAATGCACCAGTAAGGCCTTTTCGCGAACCACCATGAGAATTTGGGGGGGGGGGTGAAACCCCTCAAGCTCCTCCCCCCCCCAGCTACATGCCTGCTCCTCCCCATGGTATGCAGAAAAAGATACAACACCAGGTGTGGATAAAATCAGATCCACGTGTCTATACCTGCAAAAATGTGGGATCACTCTGAAGCTTCGTG